TATAGTACATTCTGAAAATAGCTGCTACGATTTAAAAAAAAATGTTGACTCGAACGAGACATAGTAATAAAAATAGCTTATATGCAAACGTACAATCAATTATTACTTTTAATGTACGAAGCATCTAGCACAGTAGTAATTTTAATAAAAATATTTTGTTTTAATTTAGTGCTCCATACAATCTCACTTGTATATAATGCAGAGTCCAATAACTATAGCAATAAATAAGCTCAATGTTTTTGCGGAAATACGCTAGCTTTCCACTTTAGTTCAGTATACTCCACTAGGTGGCATCGAAGTAAAATTGAAACCACCTGCAATCAAAGTATGTGGGTCTGGTCATAACATGCCAAAATATGAACAATATATGTATATAAATATAAATAAATACAAATATAAATTATCATAGTCGTTCATCAGCAGTGCACGAAAAATTGAGTTGTGAGACGCGTAGGAAGTCTTCCACCTCTCGCAGGATCCATAGCCCCGTAGGTGTTGTTGGGGCGTTTCTAGGGCGTTGGCTCTCACAACAAGCAGATCAAGTCACAACAACAGCACTGCCCTGGGACGTCACGTCAAAGGAAATGGCGGGGACAGTGAAGCAACCAACGTTGTCGCATCAACAACAAAGCAAACGAAAAAAGCTTCTTGCGGCCAAACAATGCTTCACGCACGCTCGCAGGCCCAAGCTAATCTGAACTTCTTTGACTTCTTCTTAATTTTTTCCTCCTTTCCTTTATCCCTTTCTCACCTATTCTCTTGGACCTGATTCTATCTTCTCCTTAATCACCTATACTACCGCAGGTGGCCTTACGGAGTAACACTTTTTTTTAGCATCTTAAAATGCTAAATCAATAAATTTTTTGTACTCCTAAAAATTAAATTACTTATTACAGTATGACACTCAGGCTAAAGTGCTGGCAGTTTATCTGTTGGCAATGAGTCAGTTTGTTGATCTGTCGAGATTTTGCTCGTCAACGATGATTATAAACTAAATTGTTGCAAAAACGTTGTCTTACGTTTGATACAAGCTTTAAGAAAGTTCTTATAATTTTGAGCTGTTTTTCTTCCACAAATATTTTGCTTTCCATAATCTTTGCCCACAATTCATTAACTTCGTTTTGCAGAGATTGCTTTGGTTTCATGCGAAGGGCTTTGTCTTAAGCATCATTTAGCTTAGTCCACAACTAATAATTATTGGACGTAATTTTTCATACAGAAAAATCATTTTAATGCTGCTAGATAAGTACAAAATTGAAAATAATTCTCAGAAGTATACAAACAATCCTAGTACATGCATCATTATTTTAATCAGCCTATATGTAGATGGCGGTACTTTTATATAAGCACCCTTTTAAACTATTCATGTCCCTATGGATCACAAACATACTAAAGACTTATAATCAAAATTTACATGTTTTCTATTTAAAAAAAAAAAATTTTTAAGTAAGAAGTAAAAATAGAAAAAATTTTCTCCCCGGGTGAGAATCAAACACACAACCTCTTTTTTTCTAGATAGTTGCTCTACAACTTGAGCTACCAAGGAGACGTACATTCACTCAAACCTAAGGTTTAGACAAGCTCCTGTTCTTAATTTTTGAGGTGATTCCCTCCAAGTTCGATTTCAATAGTTATATAGAAAAATAATTCTAATGCTTGTAGATAAATAAGAAATTTGGAATAACTTCAAGAAATATACAAGCAATGTATTTCAATTACCATCGTATCAATTGGCACATATACAGATGGCGCAGGCACTTTTATATAAGCATCCCTAAAACCATCCATGCCCTTTGTGATAACAAGTATACTCAAGACTTATAATCAAAATTCTTATAATTATTATTTCAAGAAAAATTCTTAAGTAATAAGTAAAAATAAGAAAAAAAATCTCCCCTGGAGTGGATGAAATACACAACCTTCTGTTTAGAAGACAGTTGCTCTACCCCTTAAGCTACCAAGGAGCCATACTTTTACTCACTTAGAGTAATTTTAAATTTCTAACTTATCTACAAGCATTAGAATAATTTTTTAATAAAAGTATTACAATTAAGATTAAGGTAAAACTGCTCAAAAATTAAAGGAACTTATCTAAACCTACGGTGCAAGTAAATGTACGGTTCCTCGGTAGCTCAAGGGGCAAAACAACTATCTATTAAGCAGGAGATTGTGTGTTACATCCACACTCAGGGAGGATGTTCTTTTCACTCTTACTTATTCCTCAAGAAATTTCCTTGAAATAGTAAAATAAAAGTAGCATGGATGGTTTAAAAAGTTTTTAATATAAAAGCGCTATCATCTACATATGTGCCAATCAATACAATGATAAATGTATTAATATTGCTTGTATACCTCTTAGAGTCATTCTAAATTTATATTTTTTTGTATTGTGAACGTTATTTTTTGACTGTAGCATAAAACATTGCTTATTTACAAAATCTGTACTGTATTTCTTACTATACCAGGAGGCTATGCCCCCTGCGCGCTCCACGGGCCAACCCCCAAAATTTAATCAAGCATTTGTTTTCTACATTTTTAAAGAAAAATACAATAATTATATCTTTGTCGTAACACGTAATATTGTAATATTTATTAACTTACAAATTAAAATGACTTTTTACTGATTTTTCAAAATTTCATTTTTAAATCTACCCGCGCTTGATCAGTCTCAGCCAATCACACGATGAATAAACAGGTTTCATTACGTAACCCATCGTTTTTTAAAGATAGGACCGTATGTAGTCTGTTACTCACTTAGGGAGGAAAAATAAAGAATGTCTCAGATCGCAGGCAGAAAATGCCTGAGACGAAGCCGAGGACGATAAACATGCGATCTGAAAGATTCTTTGTTTTCTTCCGTAGGTTCTATGCGATTTTCCACCAATCCTATACCGGAAAAAGAAATTTTTTTCCTGCAAATCAGAATGGAAGTTTCTTCTTTCCGCGCCGTATGTTGAAAAAATTATAATCATGGTTGTACCACATCACTTATCATTAAAGCATTGCTGCCATCTTTTCATAAAGTAATCAAGTATTTAAACTGCAAAAAATTAAGTCATAAGACTAAGCTCTTACTGAAAACCCGAAAAAATGTTAATAAATTGGTGAAAAAAAATTCGTGACATAACACTTTATTGACTTCCTCCTTCCCCAATATTACATTTTGGAACAAAAATGTGACTCCCTTTTCTCTTAATGTGTAACATAATATTAAGATGACCCCCAAGTGTTTCTACATTATAGAAAAGAATGCAGTTATGTTTGATTTATTGGTATCAGCACATTGTTTCTTAAGAAAAAGCATCAATAAATAATCTGACATAATTTTTCTGAACAATTCAATTGCTTTCAAATATTTAACTGTCATATGATTAATACTGACTATAATTCGTTGAAGAAACTTATAATTAATAAAAAACAATAATGAAGAGATTGTCCTAGAGATTACTACTTAACTTTCATGATTATTTTTTATATTTGTCTTAAGAAATTTACAGTAAAAATATTGAAAAAGTTCCAACATATTCTGAAAAATAACTTAAAAAAAACAAAACTATTCGAAGAAGGTATAGTGATCAGATCACCTTCTGAAAAAATATACAGTGACGTACCTAAAAAATAAAGCTCGATGGGTGAAAAATAACAATAAAACGTAATTTCTAGAATAAAGTTACTATCGAGATGCACACATACCTAAGTCTTCCCTTACATTACAACATAATTTTAGTTTACCGTTTTTCATAAAGTTCTGTATAAAATAACGATGAAAAGTTTTGTTTTTAAGCGAGAGTTAGGCAGAAAAAAAGTAATTTCCACATAGTTGCAAAAACAAGATAATGACCAAGGTAAACAAATGGAGTACTTTTGGTTAACATCACATTGTAACCTAAATTTACTGTATTCCTAATATGTCTTCTATCATGACAGTTAGATTATTGAAAACAAATCTCAATATTTCTTTGCTATTTGAACGAGAACACTTTCATGCAAAGATTGTCCTAAAACCGATGATGAAAGGTTACATTATAACTTATTAAAGAAAAGAAGCTATTATAATTATTTACAGTGTAAAAAATTAAGGCCCAAAGGATGTTTTATAAGTGTATGATGTGTATAGGCTTTACAGTTTAAGAATTAATAAAGTTAACAAATATTTTTAAAATGCATTATGAAGTAAGTAATAAAATACTTTATAAAAATGAGAGAATAGTTTTTAAAAAATTTAATCAATGCAATTAAAATTTTTTTTTGTTTTCCCTTTGCAGGTTCTGGGTATACTAAATAATTTAAAGGCTTAAATTACATATACAAATTTTTCTGCTTAGGTATTTTTCTTTTCTATTCGCTGTGTGAAGTAATCTAGAACAGCGTCACCTAAACGACAAGAAAAGATGATACTAGATACCACAAATCCAAAGCTTCTTATGTGCTGCAAACTTTGTTAAAAGTTTTTTATAGTTTCCGAGAAATTTTGATATTCAAAGTATAAATTTTGAGTTTTTATAATTTAAATTATTAGTTCTATAGAGAAAATAATTTTCTGTAAGTGTATTTATTAGTTTTTTTTCTAACTGTTAAATAATAGTAGTTACATGAAGGAATAGCATTGGCTCAGTAGTAAACGTGCTTGTAACTGATAAGACGTCATTCTAGGAGTTGTGGGTTTGATTCCCAGTAAGTGCAAATCGTTTGAAAAAATGTCATCGCCAGAAAAACTTTCTATCTAACCTTGGCTGTTTCAGGGCTGGTTTTACCGTAAATTTTTTCTCAGAGTAACTCCGGGATTTTTTCCTTACCCCATATTTCTTTGGACTTTGATAAATAAGAAACAGTATTAGGGCTATAGGTAGGAATTAGCAGCTCCAATGCACTAGGAAGGGATCACCGGTCTTACTGGTAAAGAGTGGTCCCTTAAACATCGGGCTTCTCGGGGACGATAATTAGCCTGGATCTGATGCTTCGGCAGAGAGCCATGGCTTAACCGGCGAGGAGTGAGTGTCATGAATTATGAAGTCTTCTCCAGGGAAAGGGTAAACAGTGGCAAGTGAACCCAACATATGGCATTGGTGTAATGTCAATATAGGGATTGGTTAATAGGTGCGGCAATGTACCCTCACATATTGGTGGTGAGTGGATAGCCCCGGTGACTAGGCCAATAAGTGTCTACAGTAACCCGGTAAGAGAATACTTTTTATTTGTTGAAAACAAATATTTAACACTAAAAATTAATACTTTAAGTACCAAAAATGCATTGAAACTGCAAAAAATAATGACCGAAGTTTGTAACCCATTACAAGCTATGTTATGGTATTATCCAGCATCACCTCTTGTTTCCATAAAGGTAGAGCTGTGTTAGATTTAAGCACATAGCAAATAATCTTAGACTTAACCTCAAATAACATCTTAGAAGGTGTCATTTTTTCGTAACATTTTGATTCTGATACTTTCAACTTGAAAGATTTTCTTGTAAGGTTAAATTTCATTGATCTTTACAACCTTTTTTTGTAATAATAGTAAAAAATGTCTGATAGACAACATTTTTTGCTAAATCTTAGTTTTTTATATAATTTTTTAACTGATTTCCTAATTTTTTGAGTTTTACAATAGTTTTAAGGTTAGAATGTATCAGTTTGAGATTCCTGGTGATTTTCTTCTACTTAACGTGATTAGAGATTTAAAGATTAACAAAAAATTTTTAACTACCGTCTTTTCTTTGTGAGATATGAAGTTACTGTTACTCAAAACTAGAAATGTTGAATTTTAAGGTTATATTAAACGGCATGTGTGTTGCATACGTTATATTTACAGTAAATTATATATGACATACAAATTTATTGTGATTACTCACTCATTTTTATGATTTAAGAAAAAAGTTATCGTATTCATATATTTTTTACATTATCCTGAAGTTATGATTTGATAGTTTAAGATCCTACATATATTATTTTTTTTTTAAAGAAACTTCTATAGCCACATATTGGAAATTGGGTTATAAGTAAAACCAGCCAATGCAACGAAAAACTGTCCATCTGGTTCTTAGTAGCGTGGGGAGAGCAGGGCGCGGGGCACGGGCAAGGGAGTAGCGCGTATGCGCATCAGAGTAAATTTATGGTGGGGAGACAGAAAGACAGAAAAAAAAGAGAAAGAGCAAGTGCACGCGTCTGCAGAAATATGTGTATACTTATTTAGAAACCAATGTATTATGTAGCAGAAAGATGTATGTACGTACGTGTACATGCACGTAAAAACTCTTTTTGTATAAGAGACTTGTGAAGCTTGTCCCTGTGAATATTAAATATTATTATTTTGCAATCACTGGAGGCTTCAACGATTCTTCTTTACTTGCGGATTTATTCTCTACTGAAAGTTCCATTTGCGGATCAATAGTTTGTGAGATTTTTGAAAAATAATAAGTCGAAAAAGGAAGTCACCGCACTGAAATGTATAAACCTTAGTTCTAAGTACTAATTAAGATTCAAATTTAATTCTACCAGTACGATTCAATTTCTTTTCACTTGCAGATAATAATGGTGCATAAATTATCGACATTAAATGTCACAAAGTTTGTAAAAAAAAATATTTAATTATTATGTTTGTAGATGTAGTGCTGAAATAAGTAATACACCTAAGTTTTTTCCTTCATTTTTTTTTAATTCATTGGGAAAGCAGTAGATTTAGAAGTACAGTGTTTATAGGATGTTTTTCAATTAAATTTTAGAAAACGAAATAATGAAAGTAAAAACACGTGATATCGAAAGTACCTGGTTAAATCATAGCTCATTTCACCGTTAATAAAACTACATGAAATGAATGCAAATAAAATTAACAGAAATGGTAATAATTAACTGTAAAAATAAAAAGTTTAAAGCAGCTCTTGAAAAAATCAATACGTTGTACTCGAGAATGAAGAATTACTCCTTGTTTTGTTCGTAATAAATCCAATGGCTTTGGAATCCAGGTATTTTTAAAGTATTCTTCAATTTAACTGGTATTGAAAAATATGTATTCAAACGTAAAAATACGTGAGTTTGAAAATACCTAAAACGATCATAGCTTTTGACATTAAAAATTTAATTGTATATTAAAAGTATGAATAAAATAGGACTCTATGAGAGAAAGTAACATTAAAAATATTATTATATGAGAAATACGTTAAGTGTATTCCTCATTAGTGGAGACTTAGAACGTGACACAATGACTCGTTGAAAATTTTTTTTTTTTTTTTCTTGTAACGGCAATTGATACTAAGATTATGTCAAGGTACGCATGCCTTGGCTTCATTCGTGAATCACGAATTTTTGATTGATATTATTTGATAACATGAAAACCTGAATAATAATCATATAATGATAAAGTAAATTTATAGACCATGGCGTGATTAAATTTCAAATTCTAATTTTTTGTCGTCAGCCCCTAACAACTGTAATTATGATAGCGTGACTACTTATAAAATAAATTAAGTAAATGAAAGTGGTCTACTTATCAGGTTTCTTTTTAAATACATACTATTTTAATTACAAAATTTCTTAAAAGTGTACCTAACACTATACGATCTCCAAAATACCGAGTTGAAGAACTCACGAGTTGGATGTTTCACTTTCACCAGGGGCTCCGAGACCCACAACATGTTTGTTTACTTTCCGTTATCTAATCATCAAGCTGCAACAAAAATTTTTCAGCTAAAACCATTTTTACTGCGTCATACAAAAAGTTTCTGATATCAAAAACAAAAATGTCATACCTTATGGTTATGTTGCTTGTTACTTAGTTCAATACTCCGTAATCATAGTAAATTATGTCAAAAAGACAATTTTCTTGCTATACCTGATTTTTTTAAATTCTTTGACCAGGTTTCTCATTTTTTATGTAGTTTTTTAATAATTTATAGATCAGGACTTTTAAAAGTAGTTTTACTTTTTTATTATCAAAACTTCAAGGTTCGACAAAATTCTTCCAGCTACTATTTTTCGTTGGTGAAATATTAGGTTTGCCACACTTAAAACACAAATCCACCCACTACGCGTCGTCTACTAAAACTTGCAAATAACACAACAGCGCTGCTTGATCAAGGCTGTGCTTACCGTACTTTATAGTCGTTTAAAATTTTAGCACTACAAATAAGACCTTAGTTTATTAGATTCTTTGGACCGTATGGCATTTTCTTTGACTTCAGACCAATATGGATTCTGAAAATTTTAGAAATAACCTAGTTTTAAAAGATTTACTTACTTTCCAAATAAATCATTATTTTAATTAAGAGCTCAATTTAATATCACAATAGTGTTAAACAAACTAAAAAATTAAATAACACTAGATTTTTTACTGTATAAAGTGCATTCAAAAAACAAAAGAAATTTTAATCTGGAGAGCCCTATGATTAAAAAATGATGTATAGTAGTATAAGATGTGACCATAAGCTACTTTGATAATGATTATACAATATAAGACATAAAAAATATGTGGAGATATTTAAATTTAGATTTATGTTGAAAATGTTGTTATAAGCATAGAAGCTACTGTTTCATTGTAAGGAATCGCATTGTTTCAGGTAAAGATAGCAAAGGATCGCAAAAAAAGTGACAAAATCGTATGTGACTCACAGGAGAGGGCATTTTGGCGAGTATGTCGACCACCACCAAACTGCCCAAATAGCTTCGACGTACTATCTCTGCCATCAAGAGCTTGGTTGATGAGGCCACCACCTCGCAAACGCACTCTTACAGATGTAAAACGTGAGGTCAGTGAAATATATTATGAGGAACCATCTCTTGTACCCATGTTATTTATTGTTTGCTAGTCATGGAATTACATTAAATTTTTTTAAGCCTAATAGTTTATTTAGTGTGACTATAGGAACAATATAACTTTGATTAACTTAATTAAATGGCCCATATAATATGTGTACAGTTTACAATTAATTATACCTGTAAAGTGGAAATAAGGCATTTTAAGATTCATTGACTTGTGTTCTACGTTCGTTAAGTTACATAAGTTATTTTGTCGCAAACCTCATGATAAATACTACTATGCTTAACGTACAATTAAAACGTTTTTAGCCTCTGGCTTTTAACTAAAGAGTGTAATTCTATTCTAATTTATTCATTGGAGGTGTCGTTACGTTAATGTCTTACATGAACTGTTTATTTTTCCCTGTCAAATGCTCACGTGTGGCACTTTCAAAAGTATGAGATTTTTATGGCAAACTGTCAAATTTATTATAAACTCATGATAGATTAGTTCAGATATAAGGATAAAAACCTTTTTCGGAGCTTATGATGTACGAGCTAGTTAAAGTATTTTTGGGGCACAGAAACTTTACAATGTTAGCTCATATTGATTTTCCACACACTCTGCCTAGAACATCAAAGGAAAAATTCGGCCCTACGATATTATATGGTATACATCTGCTCTTACTCTCACTTCTGCAAGGTAATACAAGGTAATGTTCTATGGACATTCCTAGATTCTTCAGCAAAAAAGTAAATGTGCTCTTATGAAATGTCAAAACATCATGTATCTTGGGAAGTAGTCGCTCTTTGACGATAATATTTAATGTAAAATAAAGCTAGTATTAATACCATTTTACATTCTGAAGCATTTTCGGTTATGTATTCCCAACAAAATATAAGAAATAAAAAAATGCGTATCCTTACTTGAAAACAGCTTCCTAATAACTGAATTTTTCTTTTCCAACTGTTCTTGATTTTTTGTATGATTTTTATTCCTGTAATCAAATGTATAATTTTTGAGTTTGAGTTGATCACCATATTTTTTTTTTTTTAATATATAGGGTAAGGATATTTCGTTATATTTTTTAATTTGTTTTGAAAACAAGGTATGTTTGAGCAGAAATTAAAACAAAAAGTAAAAAAATAAAAGCGATATTCACAAGTGTTCACAGGTTTCCCAGCAATTTTACATACTCAAACATACCATAAAGGTAAATTCATTATAAAAATCTTGAACATACTTTTCCTTGTTTAAACCAGAGTCACAATTATTTGTAAATTAAAAAAAACAGCCATTTACTCACATGCAGTTTGGTTTTGCTCAAGAATGCTTTTTACCAATCTGCAGTAACACTTAGTATTGTTTTTTGACTCAATGAGTCTTAACGTTTTCAACATTGTATACAAAACTGTTTGTAATTTTTTCTTCAGAAATCCATCACTCATAAGAGTTTGAAGAAAAAAAAAAAAGTTTTGGTCCAAGAAGATTTTTTTTAGTGTTTTCAGATGATTTTATTTAAAAAGATTTAATGTTATTTTTGTAATCTTTTTAGAGTTTTTAAAAATTAGTTCTTAAAACTTGACAATACACTGACAACACTGAAAAAAAAATGCTACAATTCTCAATTACGTCCGTCCCACATAGCATGGTATGTTTCTAAATCATTTGACAAACGATTCGTGAGAAACGTATACATGTTTCAACTAATATCTCTGAAAAGTTTCTGCAATCGTTCAGAAACCTTAAGATGTTCGCTCTAAAACTAATACAAAATATCTTCTAAACGTTTCCTAAATGTTTTTAAAACAAATCTGAAGTTAGTGCAAATTTCAACAAAAATAATCGTTTTTATCAAATAACTGTTGTAATCGCTAACCACGAAAACTACTCAACAGATCTGGCTAAAATTTTTTATACTGATTCTTGACACATCCTAGATTTTTTAGTATTATTTTTGTCTGGAAAAAATTAATAACAATACCAATAAATAAGCTCAAAATTTTTCAAAAATACGATAGCTATTTACGTTAGTTCAGTAGAATCTGCTAGGCGGCATGGACATAAAATCGAAGCTACCTGCAATATAATTCAATTACTGCAGTTATCATGGGCTTGAGTGTCTCAGCAATTTCTACTGTCATCCACCAGCAGTACATCAAGAATATATTTGTTCGTTGTTAAGCTGAGTATCCTGGCTACCGATGACACTCTTCTGCAATGGGCAAGCGACATACGTCCTACGTCTAATCCCAATAGCATACCTATAGAGAAGGTATTCACCAGGCCCACTATTCTGACTAACGATATGTGGTTCGATATCTGGGAAATATTTACTACCATTTCATGGCAAGGATTCGTGAACTAGAAGACCATATGAAGCCAACCACTAGAAGACCAAGTCAGTCATTTATGGGCAGACGTCACGAGTGGAGTTGTTCGTCACAAGGCTGGGAACTTTGGCGACCAACGACCCTATACCAACCTCTCAACTCTAAGCATTTAACCAGAAATCACTGATGCCCTCAGAGGTCTGTGCTAGGCAAACCTCACAGCTTTAAAAAAAAGCTTTAACAAAAGAGACAGTCTTCTACGGGCAAGCATCATAAACCAATCTTCCCACGTTAAATCGCCAGAACGACCGAGCTCTGCAAAAAAAGGTGCCTTTGACACCAACATCTCCAGCGTGACATCAGGTGACGTTTTTAAAGATCTCAAGAGTTCTACAACTAACTCTAATGCTTTAGACATTGTAGTTCTCCTCACGAACAGTCTAATGCTACAACAGCAGGCCAGAGAAGATCACCCTGAGGAATTACGTTTGCTGAAAACTCTAGTCAAGAAAGAGTTTGGCTCAGTGGTCCTTTTTAGGGCTATCAGACGTTAAACTACCTTGCCAACGAATACATTACAACCCAACAAAGTCGACGAAAAACACCCTTTAGGGCTCACAAAAGTTTTAACTATGCCTATATATAGTCACAAGAGAGCGAATGGGAAAGAAAACTTTAAATGCTTCAAATGTTTAAAATTGTTGGCGTCAAAAAACTGACGCAGAACATTCATTGAGGTTGAAACAGCAGCGTCAAGTTTGATAAATATAGAATCCATTACGCAAGAGATCATATTTACATTATTACGATGACAGTAATAATTTAAATCTTTTAGATTTTTAAATAGGTAGAATAATGTGTATTTTTATTTATTGTGGAAATAGAAAAAATTGAGAGATTTAGCTCTTTGACTTTGTTGCTCTGATAACAAGTTTGTAAGATTGAAAAAAACGATTTTTTAATTATATATTTTTTGTCAGTTTTAAGTGTTCATAGTCTTAACGAATAGCCCTTTTCATTTATTATAACGTGAGAAAGTACTAATCAATGGCCCTTCTTTTATGGCGTAAGGAATGCACGGTACTTCTCAGCATAATAATATTTTTTTTACTTTTTACAGCCTAATATTTAACAAAATAAACTACATGGACTCCAAATGAATACGCTTTTAATAAGAAGATTATTGTTTTAAGAAGTGTCAAGAATAGATGTCAAGTTTTTAACTCAAAACGTTTTACATTACGTGTCAACACACTACGGTNGGTTTTAGTCAAAACATAAATTCATAAGCAAATCACAGTAGTAGTAAAATTAAAATAAAATTGAAATAAAAAATTTTTTAAATAGCTAAACCCGGGAAGAAAGAACAACAGAAAGTGACTGTTTGAATATTTAACATCGGATTTGTAATCAGTGATCACAAAAACCACGGAAACCATATGCATACAGTATACGTCACAACACTTGCGATACTTGGTATCTTTAGATGCTCAATAAAGAGTTAAGGAGGTGACATTCAGAAATTTTAGATCGGATTTGTAATCTGCGCCTCAAAAAGCCCCAAGTAAAAAATTTCAAACCAATTGATGAACTTTTTGAATTTTCACCACTTTTTTTTGCAATTGGAACCATTAGGTACCTCTACTTTACAGAACTTCAGGTTAAATGGAAGCTGACAAAGTACTTTAAGTTACACTTTACAGTTGACTTAAAAATTCATACAATAGTCAGGTACTGCTGTCTTTTAACACAACTCATTACTGTATAATACTGGCAACAATTTTTGAGAGTGTGTCACCAATATTTTCTCTCTGTTCTACACATTCCATGTAATTCTCCATCTTATTTTTAGCTAATTGATCTAGCCAGTTTATCATTCCCACAAAAAAACTTTTACTTTTGCAGAATTTTAACAAAAGTTTTGATATGGCAAAAAGTTAGCTAAACGTGGGCAATGAGATAACTCTAAACTTTGGTTTTGGCTGAACAAATATTTAACTTAAGTTGAGCTGATGATCATCCAAACTTCGTGACATAAATGGCCAAAGTCTTGTTCAACTGATTTAATAGGGAACAATAATCAAAAATTTATGATTGAAAGTATTTCAAATATCGTTATTTGGATAATATACAAATGATCTAGATATTTGACGTTCTACGTACAATTGTTACTGTTTAAAATAATACTATTCTGATTATTATAAAGTAATAGATTCTCAGTGATGGTAAGGGGATTAGAGAGGCTTGAGTATTGACTAAGTGTATGAAAACTTTCCTCTCCCACCCGTCAGAATACTTAGAATTTTGGAATACGCTGTACGCATTTAACTCACTCTTTAGCATTGGAGACTTTTACCAGATCAGTGGTTACGCTTACTACGTAATTAAACGCTGAGCAGTTTGCTTCACAAAATTAGCAAAGGCAAGAGTAAAAGCCTTCTTGTTCCTTTTGTGCACCCACCACGCATGGCTTCCATTGTTTTGGCAGGTAGTTGGTATCCAGACGTTAGTCAAGTTGTGTTGTCATTGTACTTGTTTATGTATTTGTTACTGATGTTATTCAAAAGGCAGTAAGTTAACTGATAATAGTGTAAATCAAAATAGCCATACATATTAATAAAATAAACCATCATATACTGTTAAATCATAACTTGTTGTCACTGCATTTTGTTGTTTC